CCCAGCAGGGCTGAGGTGATGGGTGACAATGACATCCCTGGTTTAACCCCTGCAAATACTTCCCACCCACTTTTTTGGAGGCGCAAAACTGGGGAAGAGCAGACTTTCCGCGTCACCCTCTGCCACGCTCCCTTCTTTAAGTGCAGATATTTCCACCACTACTGCCTATATTTAAACCCAGCCCAGTCCAAGCAGGGACCAGGATCCTCTGGGGTGGGTTTTTTTCCTGGGGGGCTGTGATTTTAGGCAGCGACAGAGAGGCAGAAGCACCTGCTGCCACCGCCCCGGAGCCCGCGGAGGCTGCCCGCAGACCGCAGGCAGCGGAGGAGAGGGAGGGCGGGCGAGCAGGCTCCCCTTGCAAAGTCTGTCCTGTGCTGTCTAATAACACAAGGTGTCATTGTATACCCAAATCAGTGCCTGGAGCTTTATTTATAACAACTGAAACACAAAACCCAGCAGGCCAGAAACGGCAAAGGGAGCGAGAGACCAGGGAGGGCAGGGACGCAGCCGGGCGAAATGTCCCTATTTAGCAGGATTTGCCTTGAGATTTTTCAAGTCGGGTTGAGGCTGGAGGGGGAACTCGGGGGGCCACGGGAGGAGGAAAGAGATGAAAGGGAGGGAAGAGGGGGCTGACAGAGCAGCGATGCCTCCCTGGCTGCGGCAAGGCAACAAGGCTGCCTCCACCGCGGAGCCCTGCGCGGAGCGATGCGGGTGCTGTGCTCGCAGCCCCCCGCCAGCCAGCAAAGGGAGGTGGGGGGAGGCTCCAGCTCCCCTGGGACTCCTGGCTTCTACAGCAATTCTCTTTTAAAAACTATTCCGTTCCAGCCAACAGCTGGCTCCAGTGGACTCCCTCTTGCATTTTGTCTGCGAACTTGGCGGGAGCCATCCCAAAGGGGCTCGCCCAGCCCGGCAGGCAGCGCTCCCAGCGCGCTCCCTCAGGTGCAGCTCCTATCAAACCCAATGCCAGCGGCTTGCACGACCCCGCTCCTGCGAGAGGCTGAGCACCCCGAACTCTTGCTGAACTCAGTGGGAGCAAAGGCTGCTCAGCGGCGAAAGGTCCCAACCCTGCACTTACAGCATCGGGAGATGTGCTCTCCTCGGGTGGGTCCAGATGTTATCACCACCGCTGCCACCCCCGGCAGCTTGTTCATCTGCTCCCTTGTGCCGGAGGCTCCCGCTGCCGGCGCAGCGCCGGTGGAACAGCTCTCGCACTCTCCTCCAAGGCTCCTGGGCAAAGGCTGGCAGCTCTGCCTAAACCCCCTTTCCCCAGCAGCTGGAAGGAAGCCGCTGCCAGACTTTGTGCTGAAGCAGCTGAGGTGGGAACATTCATGTCCCATTCTTCTGACTCACCGTGGAGGTGGTAAGCAGCAGCAGGAGGGAAATAATAAACAGCTGGAGGGGGTAAAGGGGGAAGTAACGTCTTAAGGAGTTGCAGCCAGGGATGCCGTTTGGTGCTCACCTCCCCTGTAGATAGATATTTAAATCTCCAGGTGCAAAAGCCACTGAAAGTTCAGGCTGAGTCAGAGCTACAAAATTTGACCCACTAACAGGCAACAGAACAGGCCCCTTAAAAAGAGAAATCTGAATCCTGAGTCTGTCTTGCACCAAGGGCCACTTTGGTCCAGCTTTGCTTCTGCTGAGGACAGTGGGAGCCAAACCATGCTCCCTGCAAACAAACCAGAGCCAAGCTACAAAAAACAAATTCATAATCCATAAAGGAAAGCGCTCCCATTAACTTGACCAGGACTTCAGAAACCTCCTTTTCCTCCCACTCTATCCCAGTATTGGTCTCAGATGTTTTCCGACTCTTCATCTGAAGAGGGAAAACAAAACAACACCAAACCCACAAGGCGCAGGGGGAAGAGGCTTTCGTGTTCCTTCGCTGGCGAGCGTTCGCCCAGCTGCATCCGCTGCCCTCAGCCCCCCAAAGCCTACCTGCAGAATTACATTTGCAAAACTGTTGCCCAGGAAATGTGCAACTAAAATCTGTGAAATAAGCATGCCTGGAATCAGACGTTCCCAGTGTAGTTAAACGACCGTGCCTTGAAATCTGCCTCCGCGTTTAGCCACGCTGCCATGTACGGAGCGACGAAACAAAACGCTCGGCTTGTTCCACATCCCAGCCTCACCACCGGGACTCTTGTTCCCTGCAAATAGGGAGCCCAGACTCCTTCCCCCCGGAGGGTTTTAGGAGTGTGGCAGCAGGAGGAACTGTGAGGCTGGGGCCCTACCCTGGTGTGCAAAATCAGTCCAAAGGCTCGAAGCGCCGTGCAACGAACTGTAGCCACTCAGGAAATAAAAACTGAGCTGTCTCCAAGCAGAGGAAATAGAGAACCAAGACAGTGGAGTTCCCCATCTCTTCCACCACACTTGCCTCTTCACAGGGCAGAGCTGGTGGGAACATGACCCCAACGGCCTTGTTACAGCACAATGAAAACAAGAGCTTTCATGGGGAACAGTGGGACCCTAGGAAAAGTCCACCACAGTCTGTCCTGTCAGTCTCATATGGAGCATCATGTCAGTCTCATATGGAGCATCAAGGGAGAGAAATGTGGGTCCCCTCAGCCCACAATGGCTAGAGACACCGTCTCTGGTTATTCCTGAAAAGGTCTCGGAAAGCCTGAGCCTCACTGGAAATTTCTGACAGGTTATTTCAGAAGGGTTTGCCCTATGCAGTAGGAGGGCAGGATTTTTCTTTTTTTTTTTTTAGAAGATTTTTGTAGATGGGAAAACATTTCTCCTTCCCTGCTGGAGTAAACCACAGGACACAGCCTTCCTGTTTGCCTCTTCTCCCAGCAGCAAAAAAGTTTTCACTCCATTTTTCCTTCCTGGGGACACTGAGCTGCAAAGTCAGGTGGGCAGCAGAAAGGCAGGTCCCCACATAAAACCAAGGCTCCACTGTGGCTCCCAACCCCTCACTCAGAGTCCCCAGCACTGGGGGGAGAGCTCAGGGTTGGGAGGCCCCTCTGAGCTCAGCTGCTCCCCAGGTTTCACACAGTACCTACCCCTGTGCGGAGACACCGTGTGACCCAGAGGGTGTTGCCTCCCCAAGACAATTAGGTTGTGTTCAAACCACGACCTCGAGGAATCAGATTAATTACAGTGATGTTGAGCATGACTTTGTCTGCAGGGACAAGTCGTGTTTGACATCACTGCCAGCTGGTTACAGGTCTGGAGGATGAGCGAAACTGGAATGGTCCCTCCCCAGGCTGATTTATTGGCACATGTTCAGTGACAGGGAAGGTTTTGGGGAGAGCAGCCTGTGTGAAAGCCTCAGCAAGCAAAACCTCACACCAGAGCATCCACGAACCGGGCAGATAGAAGTCACATTGCACTGTCACACTGATACACACAATTTCAAGTGATGGCCAGGTAGAAAGCCAGGATCTTCCAGTGAGCAATGGCCACCAATGGCCAAACCCCATGTTTTATGGAGCATCCAAACAGAAAATTACTTAAATTGTTGTTTTAACACACAGATCAGGAGTTCTTCTCATGGAAAGGCAACAGGTCTCACACATGAAACAGCACATTACTCAGCCTGATCCATGAGTTTAGCTTGCATGCAAATAGCTGATGTTATTTCTCACCTACTGATGTGTCCTGGCCATGGGAGGATTTCACAGTCAGGCCAGACTTATAGATAGACCTACAGGCTGGAACAAGGTCTCCCCAAAGGGTCAGAATCTCCCCAGCCACCCTGCCTGCACCACCCTCAGTCCAGGCTGCCCACCTCCTCCTCCCAGGTAAGGCTCTCTTCAAGAAGTCTAAAACAGTAACAAAAAAACCCCTAAACCCAAGCTGATCTTCGAGGCCAAAAAAGGGCTTTGAAGCAAAGGGGAAGGGGGGGAGGTGGGAAAGGAATCTGAAGTTGCATCACTTGGAAATACCCGAGTGCTTCAGAGATGTATGTACATGTTCAGCTTCCTACTGTTTCTCGAGGAACCTACTTGGGAACAGCAAAGTGACACCAAAAGGATCCCAATGACATTTGCCTGAAACAGATAAAAACAGCCTTGAATTTAATCCAAATGAGCCCCTGTGCCAAATACTCCCTTCTTTGGAGCTGGACACTTTGAGGTTTGGAACTCCAGGCAGACGAGTAGGGCGAGAGAAGTTTGAAATATAAATCAATCAAGAGCTTTTGCCCTTTACCTGGGCTCAAAACCAATCCAGAGACATTCTCCATTGTATTTCAAACATTTCTCAGAACATGGAACTAAAACTAGGTTTCGTTTCCTTCAACAGAAGTCACCGTGGCTCCTTCATGACAAGGAAAATAGATTGGAGGGAAAATCTTATTTTCAGTAAAGCTTTTGTTCTTTCAGAAAACCAGGCTACTTTCCAGGTAGCTTTCCTGAAGATGGATTCCTGCACCCAGCTCCAAGAGGTTGCTCCTGCTGCCACCCAGGCAGGTGCACTGAAACCCACAGAAAGCACGTGGATGTGTTGCCAGTGTGATCCCGTTCAGGGAACGTGATGCCCTCTGGGGAGGCCAGTTTGAACATCAAGCCAGGACACACCTCTTACAGGGACTAGTCTGGGTCCAGCTCAGCTGAGGACACACGAGCCATTCAACCTGCTGGGCCAGGAGCAGACCTGGCCTGTCTTGCCCAGCCCCAGCGATGCAAAACTCTATTCCCTGCTATCCCCTACTCCCAGACGGACCCAGTTCTCCAGGGGCTCCCTTCTGCGAGGAGTAAGGCAGGAGGAGGGGAAATATGAAAACTATGAGCCTGATGCTCCATTTCCAAAGGCCGCCCGTCAGCCACCGATCCAGACTGGGAGTGCCCCGACTCGACGCCTGCAGCCTGGGGAAGAGGATCCTCAGTGGGGCCGTTCCCTCTCCCCGGAGCATCCCCCAGCCCCTGCTCCCACGCATTCCCTGGCGAGCTGCCCAGCGCCGCCGCAGCGCCGCTCCTGCCCGCCCGCCCGGAATGGTTAACCCGGCAGGAGGGCCAGGTGGCTCAGGTGTTCGTGCCAAGCAGCTCCTGCCTCACCTGCAGCAACTTGTCGAGGGGGAGACGCATCTGCCCTTTCTTGTCTGGCTTCAGTCTGCCTGGGGAAAAGGGAGAAAAGGGATTGGGGAAGGGTAAACACAGCTTAGGCAGCTGCAAGTCCCGGCAACCAAAGGGCTGAGCAGGTGATTCAGAGAGCTGGGGGCCTGCAGACACCCTGTTCTCTGCCTCCCACCGACATCTCCGGTGGTGGCAGCAGCCACGGAATTGCTGGCAGGAACATTCTGGCTGATGGGGCCACAGCACCCGTCACTAGCCCAGCAAAGGCAGGACAGGGAGTCTGCACTGCAGGGTCTGGGGTAAATTGCTGCTTCACCACCTCCCAGAGGATCCCAGAGAAGCAAGGCAGAGCGTTGGTACCAACAAAGCATCCAGCGCTTCCAGAGATGCTGTAACCTCCCCTTGGGAACATCTACAGTGTTTCCCCTACGGAAACACGGCCGTATTATAGCCCAAGACGTGACTCCACCTTTCTTGGTGTTACTCTGCTCCATGGGACCACACTACCTCCCTAAGCCTCTCTGCTCAACAGCCTTTGCCACCAATTCGTCCCAACATCAATAGCCTTCTCACCCTTCAAAAAAAGAGACAAATCTCAACTAGGTGGAATCTCACTCTTGCCTTTGCTTCCATCAGCCTTCCCACAACTCAAAGGAAATCATGGTAAATGAAGGAAAAAAAGACTATTTTGCCCCAGAAGGTGGCAAAATGTGATGACTGTTGACGTAAGGTTCTTGCACAGTGCCCAGTGGTCTCACAGACACCACCTGGGATGGGGAAAACCCAAGCTGGAGCTGAGCCCCAGTGCATCCAGCCCAGGCTTTGCAAGGGCTCCAGACAGAAAGGCTCAGGACCACAAGTGCTTGGTCCCCATCCAGCTTCAGATGCAGGGAGGAAAGAGCCTTTCCAACTGCAGCCACCTCACTGGAAAAGCATCCCTAACCTTGCCTGAGACCTGGGAACTTGCCCAGCCAACCAGTCCAGAATATTCTGCCTGGGTGAGTGAGGTCTCAGCCCAGCATAGGGTAGGAATGTGAGAGGCAATGTGAGCACATGGGACAGGTGAGGGGAAAGGGCTGGACAGTCAGGGAAGGGCAGTGGCTCCCTCAAAATTAGGCCACACTCAGGAGGAGTCATGCAACGTCTCTCCAGGCACAGCTGCCTCTCCCCTCTGCAAGGAGCTGGGCTGGCCCTGAATGAGGAGGAGACTTGCCACCCCTGCAGTCCTGGGAGCTGCTGGCCCCACACACAAGGTGGGCAGGGCCAGGCAGTGTTGCTTTGGGGCAGGAAGAGTCCTCAGTGCAAACCCAGGAGAGCTGCTCAGCTCATGCTCCATCCTTTCTCCATCCAGGGTTACAAACACCCTGGTGCACAGGGCAGGGAGCAGTTTCCTGGCATTACAGGGATTTTTTTTTTTTCCAGCTTGCCAGCCCTGGAAACAGACAGAACTCTGCAAACCCTTCCCCTGCTTGCCCTCTCCTCTCTGAGTCAGGGATGGCCATAACCCATTGCAACCCCTCACCTGACAGAGCTGCAGTGCTTGGAGCTGCCCCAGGGAGATGGGAGAGCCAGTCTGACCGGCTCAGGCCTCACTGAGAGCTCCCTGGGCAAGCAGCCTTCCTCACCTGGGAAGCCCAGGGAGACCTGTGCTCCCAGTTACCTCCCAAGCAGGTCAGGACGAGAGCCCTTCATTGCCCAAGCCTTTGGCTTAATTATTTTCATTCCTTTCCCCACACCCTGCCCATAACAGCAGGGATGGAGATGCCTATTACAGCACACGCGTTTCGGAGGCTCTGCCCTGTCTGCCAGCAGTTCAGAGGAGGTGAAGTGGCCGAGCTGGAAAGGGCTTTGCAAGTGCAGCCTGCAAGTTTGAATCCAGTTTGGTAGGCACCATGAGTATTTGGGGCAGGGTTGGTGAAATGGTGAAGCAGGGTTGTCCAAAAAACTCCCGTTGATTCCCAAGTGCCGTCAACATCACATGTGGTGAGGGCTAAACATGCCTTGAACTTTTAGCCTAACGAGCAGGAGGGGAGTATATAGATACAGGAAGGAAAACTGTGTGTGTAGGGAGGGAAATATCAGGATAAAAGACTCTAAAAGAATTAAATAAGAGGAAAGAAGGGCTGGAAGAAAACAAATGTGGGTAGAATAATCAGGCTCTGGCAGCAGTTAAAACTTCCATGTGTTTAGATCCCCGAATCGATGGTTAGAGATGCTACAACAAATGTCACCTTCATGCGAGCACCAGAACTGCAATTTTCTCATCATCCCTTTTATTTTTTTCCCCCACCCTCCCTATGTTGAAGCCTGTTTGGAGGACAGCAACCCCTGTACCCAGAAGACACAGGGTTTTTTCCCTGGGTTCCTTCTCTCCTCCTCTCTGCCTCTCCTGCACACACCGACTCCCTGTCAAGTTTCTGGCTGATCCAGAGGGAGACGTCGGTCCTGCCAGCTCCAGCATCCAACTGCTCTTCCCGGGCCCGGGAGCTGCAGTAACCATAGAAACTGCATCCAACGCGCAGGCTCCACTGGGGGGGCCGATAGGATGCTCAGACACATGCACAGGCAGGTAGGGACCAGCCAAGGCTCCGCCAAGCCACCCCCAAACGATGCCCAGGTCAGGGAGAGGGTGAGGCAGAGGGGGAACTATGGAGGCTTTTCTCCCAGAGCCTCACAGAGCAGCTCAGAGCAGCGTTGGGAGCGTTTCGTCTCCGGCTCAGAGCTGGCTGCAGAGCTGACGGTGCATTTTACGGCGCAGCACGGGGAGATCGGTGAGGTAATTGGGAGGATTCTGTTGCAAAGCTTTGTCTTGGTCTGCCCTGCATTTTATCTGCAGACTGGATGGGTACCCAGGGCTCCCGCTGGCCCAAGAAGTAATCAGTCATTAATCCTTCGGTCCTTTTTGCACCGTGAATATAAACAGGCCAAATCCTATCTCTGGCTGTGCTGGGGAGAGGCTTTATGTTGATGGCTCTGGCAGCAGCACACATGCCTCCAAGGGCAAGATTTGGACCAGCACAGTTAGTTAATGAGCTGATCCAAACATTGCATTAATTTTACACCCTTCCCAACTCAGACATAACTCCTGCTTTCAGCAGCACAACCCAAAGAGGGCTCAAACCACAACCACCTCTTCAGACATCTCATGTCGAGCCCTTAAATCCGTGCACGGGTACAAAGAGGCACAATTTTCAGAGTCACTGGGCACAGCAGATGCTCAGTGTCTATGAGAGCCAGGCAGAGTGACATTTCAGTGACAGGAAAGAGGATCAGAGGGGGTCTGGTGAGGGAGGACGGGGAAGTGCTCTCTGCAGACACCCACGTGCACTCCATGGGGCAGGAGGTGGCTCTGGCAGCCACAGAGGAACCTGGGACTAGAGACTGGGATGGCACATGAAGATGGGCAAACACATTAGTGGCTTCACCAGCTGTTGATGGCATCTCTCATCCCTCTTACCCGCCATGGTTGAGGGCTTTTGGGAGCACCACGACCTCACCATGGGGCTCTTCTCCTCTCTGTCCCTTGTCCCCATTGCCCAGCCATCACGGCAATCAGCAGAATGACCCTCTTGCCCTTGCACCGGGACAGAGGTGCCGGGCTTGCAAGGAAGCCTAAGCAACTATGGGAAGGTGTGGGGTGGGGACAAAAATACCAGCAGTCCTGCCTTTTCAACACCAAAAAACAAATAAAAATAAGGTCACACAACTGCCAAGCTCCCTCCTTCCTTCCCCCTCTCCAAGCCATAAATACTCCACAAAATCCCCACATGCAAACAAGCCGTGGCCTCTGGACAAAGAGGCCCAGCCTCCAAATGGCCACCAGGTGCCTATTTTGGGCTGTAGCTCGGCTGTGGTGGAACAAGCGGGCTCAGCTGTCCTCCCTGTCCGCAGCCCACAGCCCGGCCGGGCCTCACCCCCAGCTCCAGCCCCTCAATGGCCCCATTGTTCGGGGTGGGAGCTCAGCTGCGACGGCCGGGGCAGCCCGTCTGGCTCCCTGACATCCGGCAGGGTCCGGGGGCCTCCACCATGGCCGGGGGGGATGCCAGCCCCTGGCTCAAGGCACCCCACAGCCCCCCAAAAGGGGAGGGAGGGGAGGCTGTGTCCCACAAAGGCAGAGCCAAGTTGGGGTATCCTCCCTCTCCAGGGCTGTCATGGGGAGCTTACAGGGTGAGACATGGCTGTTGATTCCTTGCATGGTTTTTGGGGGCTTTTTTGGGAGAAGAAAAGGGGAATACAGCATAATGAGACACACAGAAGTTGAGCTTTCCTCTCTCACTTCAGAGACACGGCTTGAAATCTCTCTGCTTCCCAAGCTGGCTCCCCTTATCTTGTTCCCCAGTGCTGAACTGGGGGTGAAACCAATCCCACAGCACCTCCCAACACTTAAACAGGCCAAGGGATTGCAGGGCAGGCACACACACAGACACACAAACCATCAGAGCAGCCAAGAGCAGACCCGAGCAGGGGCTGGCGTCGGGGCAGACACACTTGAGCAGATCCCAGATCTGTAGGAGATACCAGCACCCAGGGAGCCTCCCCGCACTCGGCACCCTGCCAGCCCAGCACTGCCCAAAATCAGAGCCCTCGAGCTACAGCGTGGGGAGGCTCCGGCACCCTCCGCCCAGCCCTTCAAGGACTCTGCTCGACACACAGACACCTCCACCAGGAGCTGAAATTTTCCGAAAGGAAGGACTGTGTCGGCATTTCTTTGTAAACTCCCAGCAATTTCCTCCTGAAAGATGCAAGCAAAGGGCTGAAACAAATCCCTTCCTTGTGCAGCGTGAGGGCAGCATCCTCAGCAAGCTTCAAACACCACCCGAGGAAACACGTTAAAGCGACTACAGAAGCTCAAAAGGCAGCCCAAGGCATCTCTACACCAATGTTCTTTCTGGGCCAGAAGAGGTGAGAATGCCTTGTGAGCAGCAGCGGGACATGGCTTTGAACATCCACGTGACACACAAGGGACTGTGTCCTCTACTGTGTCACATCACAGTGTCTCACTCTGTCCCTGTTGCAAGGAATCACTACAGCA